CCAACAAATGTATTCAAGTAAAAGAAACCAGACAACTTATGTTTTATTTCCACCATGTCTTGTCCTCTCCTTGAAAAGCAAGTGAATGAGGACCAGCAGCCTTTGTGTGCCCATGCACCCTCAGTTTTAGCCCAGAAGAGTAGAAGTTACTTAATATATTCATGTTTATGTGCTGTCCAGAAAAAACACTTAAATATTACTGGTAAAATAATATTAGCATTTATATTTTTGTACAGTAATATTGAAATATGATATAATGCGTATTGTTTATTTGGTAAATTCTAGTAGTTCAGAAATTTTGATTTTTTTGTAAAATTTAAGAGAATAATTAAATAAATGTTACTACACCCAAAAAAAATCCTTTTTTTCTCTGTATGAATGCATCTGTGAGAACTCTTCAACTTAAGCACACAATCTGCATCGCTTATGCTTTACATTTAATCCTGAAAAAAGTCACGGGATCAAGTTGCAACTCAGGTACAGATATCAGGACCGAGACACGGCGAATAGTCTCCCTTTTCAGCACCACTGCTAAAGAGAATCTGGCTCGAGTGCAGCAGCAGATGGAAGGCCACAACTGAAACCGATCCGTCCAACGAGATGGAACAACACGTACCACATGCTGACGAGGATACACGAACAAAAGGAGCCAGTGTGAGTTTTTCTAGCCTCTTCTTCACCAACAGATTTCACTCCACTTTCTGCTGAAGACCTCAGCATCAAACTCAACGAGTTCATGCCTTGCAATGAAGCCATGCAGGAGCTTACTGCAAAAAAAACAGTCCGGATCCAAGGTCATTTCAAGAAAACATAATGTCGCACATACAACCTGCAGCACGGCACATGGAAACCAGATAATATGGAGTCTGTCAGTGTGAAGACACTGGCCACTATGCTTGACTTTGGATACAAAACTCTTGGATTTCTAACATCATCCAGGGAAAGTGATGCTGACAAATGCCTCAGAGCAGCATGTGCTGCTGAAACGAGGAGCCTCGAGCTGACCCCATCATTTATCATCAGCACCATGTTCAGGCATGTAATGTAATGTCAAGTCATGTTACATGATCTGTAATTAATTCCTGCCAAAGAAGTACTGTTTTCTTTAATAACCCATGGTRGCAGATGACAWGAACTTTTTTCCATTTTCCCTATCCACACCTTTACAACCTCGCAATGAAAGTTTTATGTCCCCCCCTCCTCTTCTGTATCGTGTGAAAGGGTTTTCTCCAAAGCCGGAGAACTGGTCTCAAAGAGATGAAATGGCCTCGGGTCCAACATGCTGTAAAAACGTCTGTTCCTCAATAAAACAAAACCCATCCTTGTCCCCTCAAGAAGTACACAGGCACACCAGTGTTGACAAGCACTTGCGTGTCCTAAATGAATTTTTCACAACTTTTATTTTATTTTTCCATTTTCACTTTTGCTTTCGAAGCACAACTTTAATACTCTTWTATTCAAATTATTTGGAATACATGCACTTCTCTTTCATAATAAGTATTTATTTTAATTATTTGGAGTCAGACTTAATAAACATTTTGCTCCAGGTTGCCTGAAATCATTTATTAAACCCAGCAGATGTCATTATTATGTGATAGATACATCGATGTATACATTTTAGATAGACTTATATTTTATTGCCCCTGAAATTKGTTCTGGACATCGTGCACTAAACAAAGCTGCTACCATGATTCAGTACACTACAAACAATAAAACCACATGTTGAATTCTAACACCACAATCAAATCACATGTTGTATAAAAAACATGTATTGCTCAATAAAAACACATATTGCGTATTCCAAACAAATCAGTCCAGACTCAGAGCATCAGTRGCAGAACAAAAGTATAAATGCCTGCCTTATTTATTATTCTGACTGATGTAGGGACAAATTAATTTTTWAATCTGTTTAGTCTACAAACAGGGATTCTAAAATGTTTGCCAGATGGTGACARCTCGTGTTGTGAGTGGGATCAGACCAGGCTAAGCTGGGGTTCTTCTTCCATGAAGCAGCTCTGTTGTCCTCCATCCATATTTTCAGTTACAGGCTGAGTCATTTCTACCTTCTCCTCTCACTAGATAAAAAATATCTGCAGTTGATAGTTTTTCTTTGCCAGCATAAATGAAGTTTGGTGGACAGCGC